CCTGTTCATATCATTTTGCAGTTTCCTTTTTTCTTCATTTAGTAGACATCTAATATACCCAAAGGACTTAAAAACAGCACACTACAGTGACGCAGCCACATTCATCTTTACAGCAGCTCAATTGGCAAAGGCCAAGCTATGGAAACAACCCAGGTGCCCTCCAACACTTGAATGGATAAAGAAAATGTATATATACACAATGGAATATGACTCATCCATAAAGAAGAATGAAATCATGGTATTTGCCAGCAAGTCAATGAAACTAGAGAATATCATGCTAAGTGAAATAAGCCAAAAACCAAAGGCCAAATGTGGATGCTGACCCAAAAAAGGGAGGTTGGGGAGGGGAATAATAGAAATCCATTGGATTAGACGAAGGTAAATGAAGGGGACAGAGAGGGGAGGGGAATAGGAAAGGCAATAGAATTCATCCATCATAACTGTTCCAGCCTTACATTTGTATACACCACCAGGGTAACTCCATATCCTGTACAACCACAAGAGTGGGATCCTAAATGAAATAAATATCTATGTATGTATAATCTGCCAAAATCCATTCTACTGTCATGTATACTATAAAGAACAAATAAATCTTAAAAATATAGACATTTACCCAGGTCAATAAATAAGGCGCTCTCCCACCCCTGGCGGTGTGTGTGTGTGTGTGTTTCTGGGAATTGAATGCAGGGCCTAGTACTTTTTAGGTAGTGCTCTACTACTGAGCAACACCCCAGCCCTATATCTTGTTATTTTTTTTTTATTGTCTACAAGATATCAATAACCAACCGGGCGCAGTGGCACATGCCTATAATCCCAGTGGCTCTGGAGGCTGAGGCAGAAGAATTGCAAGTTCAAAGTTAGCGTCAGCAACTCAGTGAGGCCCTAAGCAGTTTAGAGAGAATCTCTCTCAAACCAAAAAATAAAAAGGGCTGGAATATATAAATAAAGTCAATGAAAGATTAAAAAAAAAAAAAGGCTGGGGATGAGGCTCAGTGATCAAGTGCCCTTAGGTTCAATCCCTAGTACTATATATGTGTATATTTTTTCAACAATAATCAATAACCATAATGAAAAGATCAATAACTATAATGAGCATCTAATGATAGATCATGTTCATCCTTTTCTCCCATCTCATTCAGAGTCTGTTTTCTCACAGGTAGAGGGATAATTCAGAGGAATTTTTAAAATTAATTTCGGGGATTGAACTCAACCACATCCCCAGACCCATTTCTCACTGAGTTGCTTAGCCCCTCGCTCTTGCTGAGGCTGGCTTTGAACCCACAATCCTCCTGCCTCAGCCTCCCCAACTGCTGGGATGACAGGTGTGTGTCACTGCGGCCAGCTACTTCAGAGGACTTTTTAACAGATGAAATAAGGAATGTTTGTAAACCGTTGGCACTGTGCCCAACAGTGACTCCGCAGGCTGTTAAGGTCAGCTGTCTTCATTCATCTATTCAACAAATAATTTCTACCATTTGTTACATTCAGTGTGCCAAGGGATTATGCTAAGGGTTTATTTAATCCTGACCCCAAACCAATGAGATAAGTAATATCATTATTCCTGTTTTTCACACTAGGAAAGTGAGTGACCAAGGGGCTAATATCTCATCTAAAGCCACAGAGTCAGCAAATAGTGGATATCCAACCCCCAGAAATTCAGATGCCAAGGTGCATGTTCTCCCTACCTCTGCCTCTGAGAGAGGAAGCTATTCACAGGGCATCTCCTCTGTGCTGGTGCTGGGCTCTTATACCAGGCCCTGTGTATGTTCCCAACTGTGGGCGGGAAGCAAGGCCCTAGCTGGTCCCTCTGCACCATTATGACGACCCAGTCCCAGCTCTTACCATCCAGTGATGTCATTGCACCTGTTTTAATTTTACTGCTACCCAGCTGCTAAAAAATGCCTCTCCTGCTCAGTTGGTCATGGATACTCCCTGGCTCTCCTGGGTTGTCAGAATCTGTCTTCCTCATGTCTCCCTTTGCCAGTAAGTCTCTGTGCTTCTTGGGAGCAGGAACCAGATCTCCGTCCTCCCAGATCTCTGTGATCAAGCTCTATACCTGGCTCCCTGTAGGTATCAAATAAACAAATTAGCAAATGAATGGTCAGGAGCAAGTGAGTAGGTGGATGACAATAAACAAATGGGCCTTTCTGGGCCAGTGAATGGACTGGTGGGGGCTAGCATGGATCCTAAGGGCTGCTCTGAGAAGAGACCCAGCCCTTGCAGCCAAGTCACTGTGCATAGTCTCCCTCTCTTCTGACTGCCTAGCCCCAACTCTCCAATTCTTGCAACCTGGTGGCGGCACACAACCAATGGCATTTCAGTTACTGTTGTTACAATTTTAGCTTGTTGCTCTTCTGGGTCTGCTTCTGCAGACACTCCAGGCAAGGTCTTCCTCCAAAGATCTCCAAGACTGACTGCAAGGGTCTGAGGTGAGACCCACGTAGGGCCCAGAAAGCCCTAGGATCACCCCAGATGCCCTAGCCCACGGGGAGTCCTGTTGAACACTGGTGTCTAACATTGACATTACCTGTCTGAGGAACACTGGTAAGCTGGAAAGTGCCCAGGACCAGCCCCAGCGTCGCCATTCAACTTCTTCTGCTCTGAATTTTAGGATCCCCATCATCCCCATCTGTCAACTGGGTACCACTAACTCATCATATCCGGCCTTTGATACAAAGCAGGATTCAGTGGTCATCGGGCAAATAGATAAATGGATTGCCTGGAGATAAGGAACAGAAAGAGCCCCTTGATCCCTAGCTTGGAGGCCAGAAGAGGCTCGAAGCCCTTTGCTCCCTCCCCGCTAATGCCGAGCCCAGGTATTAGCCCTGCCAGGCCTGAGGTGGCGCCTGGCCAGCGGCCAGYAGGCCACCTGGAGCTGAGCCTAGGAAGGACCCGGAGGGGCGGGGGCGGCGCGGGGCGGGGCCAGGCGGGGCGGGGCAGAGGCCGCGGAGTCCCACCTGCAGAAGCAGGTCCTTCCGCAAGGCTGTCACAGTGAGAACAGGCCGAGGTGGCGCTCCTCACGCGCCAGCCTGCTGGCACGTTACCGGGGTTTACGACAAACACAGACGCCAACAGTGGGCGTCCCGGGATGAACGATGGAAATTCGAGGCCTCCTCCACCGGAGGCCCACACACAGGCCTCTGCTTTTGCTGGGAATCCCGTCTGACTGCAGCGAGCTCTGTACCAGGCTCGGTTCTAAACACTCTAAGTGGGTTAGCTCGTTGAAGCCTCCTAACAACCCTGCGAGGTGCCTACTAGGATCACTCTAGGTGGAAAACTGAGATTCTGGGATGTGCACCGGCAGTCCCCGGGGGTCCACAACAGGAAGAGGCGCGTGGACCCCTGTCTGACTGCAACCCCAGCTCGTGTGGACAAGGATAAACCAGAGGATAAGTTTTGCAAAGCCAGGTGCTTGGTTCACAGTGATCCTCAGACATTGGTGCGCTTTGAAAATATTTGGGAGGGGAGTCTCGTGGGCCGCAGCTGCGCACGCCTGTAATCCCAGCGGCTCAGGAAGCTGAGGCAGAAAGATCTCAACTTCAAAGCCAGCCTCAGCAATTTAGCGAGGCCCTGGGCAATTTAGTTGAGACCCTGTCTAAAAATAAAAAATAAAAAGGGCTGAGGATGTGGCTCAGTGGTTAAGCACTCATGGTAGCAATCCCTGCTTTAAAAAAAAACCAAAAAACAAAAACTTTCAGGAGGGGAAAGAGTGCTTACTTTAAATTCATATTTCAGGGGCTGGGTAAAGAATATGAATGCTTAATATGCCTGTCTCCCTGAATTCAGTTCCCAGCACTAATAAATGAATTCATATTTAACCCCAACTTAACACTGTCTAGTTTTGTAGGATTGTGGTAAGGGCTGAAATTTTGCATTTTGAACAGGCTTCTTGGGGATTTTGAAGAAACCTGTCTGCAGATGGCATTTGGAGGGAGCATCATAGTGTTTAAAGCACCTGAATAATATATGGTCAGTCCTCTATACAAGAAGTTTCGACATTCACTGACTCAACCAATCACAGATGGAAAATATTTAGAAAAAAATTGGATCTGTACTGAACATGTGCAGATTTATTTTTATTGTCACTATTCCCTAAATTATTCAGCATAAAAACTATTTACATGACATTTATATTGTATTAGGTGTTATAAGATATCTGGAGATGATTTTTAGTATATAGCAAGATGTGTGTAGGCTATATATTTTGTCTGTGTGTGGGGTGGGGTTACTGGGGACTTAAATTCCTTTACCATTGGGCTACATCCCCAGCCCTTCTTCTTCTTCTTTTTTTTTTTCTTTTTCTTTTTTTGATACCGGGAATTGAACCCGAGGGCACTCAACTACTGAGCCACATCCCCAGCCCTATTTTGTATTTTATTTAGAGACAGGGTCTCAAAGAGTTACTTAGTGCCTGATCGTTGTTAAGCCTGGCTTTGAACTCGCCATCCTGCCTCAGCCTCCCCAGCCGCTGGGATTACAGGTGTGTGATGCTGCACCTGGCAACTATTAAGCCATTTTTTAAAATAAAGGCCTTGAACATTCATGGATTTTGGTATCTGTAGAGGGTTCTGGAACCAATCCCCCAGGATACCGAGGACAGTTATACAATATGCACTCAGACGAGCTCCTCCGTGACGGGCAACAGGGGTAAAGACAGAGTTCGGGAAGGGTGAGAGATCACTGACAGGTGCCCACTAGGAGAGCATCAATAAAAGGCTGGGTGTAGGGCAGGGATGGCGAAGGTCTTTACATACACGAGGCCTTGGGCTCAATCGCCAGTACTAAAAAAAAAAAAGCATCAATAAACCCCTATTGCCGGCCCTTCAAAGGCAGGTCTTTCTGCCCAGAGATTCAAATTCTTGGGGTCTCCCCAGGTGAGTGGCGCGAGGCGCTGCGATACCACCCCAGGACGCAGGGGGGCGCCGTTCTGCTTCTCTCCTGCGGAATGAGGCACTGCTATCTTTCTGAGCCTGCGCCAAGAAAAAAAACCTCACTTCCGGCTCTGCGCGGTCACAGCCCCAGCTTGCCTTACGGCTAGGTGAGTAAAAGATGATGTTTTTCTTGGGCTCTGAAGCCCACCGCCCCGTGCGACCCTTCCCCGCAGTGTCGTAGAGATGCGCAGCGCTCCCCGAGCCAAGGCTCCCTCCCGGGGCGACCTCGAGGCCAGTGCGGCTCCCCGCTCCCGGCCTCTGCGCTGAGGCCTGCGGCGCCGGGGTACCGAGCGACATAGACTGCTCCGTCCCCACTCCGCTCCCTGCTCCCTCCACCCACTCAGCCTTCCCTCCCGCTCTTTGCAGACGGTCACCATGAAGTTCAACCCCTTCGTGACCTCGGACCGCAGCAAAAACCGCAAACGCCACTTCAATGCTCCCTCGCACGTGCGCAGGAAGATCATGTCCTCCCCGCTCTCCAAGGAGCTGCGGCAGAAGTACAACGTCCGCTCCATGCCCATTCGCAAGGACGACGAGGTCCAGGTACGCGCTCGCCCCTCGGAGCCTACCAAGTGCAGGGCGCCGGGCCACTGCCTGTGCCCGAGGGAGGGAGTCGCAGGCACTCAAGCCTTTTGGAGCCTAGTAAGAGCCGGACGCAGTGGCGCAGCCCTATAATCCCAGCTCGGGAGGCTGAGGCAGGAGGATCGCGAGTTAAAAGCCAGCCTCGGCAAAAGCGAGGCGCTAAGCAATTCATTGAGATCCTGTCTCTAAAAAAAAAAAAAAAAAAAGACTAGGATGTGGCTCAGAGGGCCATCAGAGTGCTCCAGAGTTTAAAAACAAACAAACAAAAAAAGTAGCCTAGCAAGTACCCAGTCTGCAGATGTGCAGATCAGAGATGGGGTGCAGAGCCGCTAGAGTGCCCACCCTGTTTAAAATATTCCAGCCAAAGAAAAGTCTGCTTTTCAGTCTAGCCCAGTGGCTTTTAGTTTGTGTGCTATTGTTCAGGGTGGTTCTTTGAGCCCTTCTTTGAAGGGGAAAGTGCTCCTTTTGAGTTTGGTAGAATTGATGTTTGTGGGAGCCAGGCCTGTAATGTACTAGTCTTGCCAGGGAAAATGGAGAAGCCAAAGCAAGTCAGAAGTGAAAAATTATGAAAGGCTGTAGTCCGTGTTGAAAGTGGAAGCGTGCTGTTCTCTGTGAATGGAGCTCAGTATGTGAGGGTGAATAGGTTGGACTGGATTCACCCTGGAAGGAATATTTATTGAGCACTTCCCAGATACTGTTCTAGACACTAGCAGTGAACAAGACTGAGTAAGCCTTCGTTCTCACAGAGCTCACATTTTGGAGCAGGGCTTCTCAGCCTCAGCACTGTGGACATCTGGGACCCAGTAATTGTGGGGAAACTGCTCTGGTCATTATAGAGTGCTTAACAGCATCCCTCCCTTCCCACAAGGTGCTGGCAGCATTCCCCATCTTTGTCACTGTGACAAGCAAAAATATTTCCAGATATTGCCAGTTATCCCCTGGCTGACCCCAGTTGTCTCCCCCAGCTGAGAACCATTGTTTAGAAATGAAATGGGATGAAGTGATGAATGAAGGGGTTTGATGTGTCATCTGAGACACTGGGGCTCTCTGAAGGTAGTTCAGAGGGAGAATCTAGGGCTGGATTGTGGCTCAGCATGTGTGAGGCCCTGGGTTCAACCCCCCAGTGCTGCAAAACTTGGAGGCAGGATCAATAGTTTCAACCTCTTCTCTCCTGGATTCTGCCTATCAGTCATGTTCTAAAACTGGGAATTGCAAATGCCTGTATGGCAAATTAAATAAGAAAAGTGGACTGATTAGGACATGTCAACCTGAAAAGTTGATTCCTTGTTTGAAGGATGTATGTCTTACCCACTGCAGCCTAGAGGAAACTCAGACTCGGTATTGTCAGACTTTGGCTTTACAAGAGAACTGGAAAATTGGATTCTCTTTGCCAGCCCATTTCCTTCCAGCTTCTACTGTTTGTTGCCCATTTCTTAAATAAGCTCCTCAGAAGAACTGTCTATATTTCATCTCCCATTCATTTTTGGATACTCTCCAGTCTCATTCCTGTTCCTACTACTTCATAAAATCTGCTTTGTCTGCAGTACCTCTTTGTGATTAAATCCAGGGGACACATCTTGCTCTCATCACACTTCTGACTTCTCAGCACTATTTGGTGTAGGAAGCACCACGTTAGTTGAAGAAGTCTTGGCCTCTTTGACACTTCAGGTTCACAGTTTGCTTCCAGCTTCTCAGACTTCCTGGCTGTTTTTCTCTTCATCTCCTCTTGCTCTGCATTCTCTGCTTAGGTATGTACAATAATTGGTAATATTTTATTCTCAGAACTGTAAATGTCTGCTGTGTAACACCTCCCTCTTACATGCCAGCCTGAATCACTACAGACCTATTTGCTGAATACCTGTTTAGATATCTTATAGACTTTACAAGTTTCTTAACCAAGAAAAGACCTGTTTTTTAAGGTAGTGCTGCTTTACACTGAGCTATATCCTTAGCCCGTAGCCTTTCTTCTTTTCTGAGGTACCAGTCTCACTCAGTTGCCCAGGCTGGCCTAGAACTTGGAGTACTCCTGTCTCAGCCCCCTGAGTCACTGAGGTCACAGGTATGGCCACCACACCCAGCTGCCATAAACCTTTAAGTTATCCTCAACAACTTTATTTAAACCCTGTCTTCTGCACTACTACTAAGTCCTGTTGATTCTATCTACAGAAGTCGATTCTGACTATTTCCAGTTTACTTCAGGAAAGGGCTGAGGACACTCCTGGGTTCAATCCCCAGTACCTCTGCCCATAAAAAGTCTAAAATTGTTGCCTACAAGGCCCGAGGTGCTCCATGGCTGTCCTCCCCTGCGGCTCATCTCCTAACCCCACCAGGCCCTGCATTTCAGCCACGCTTGTCTTATCAGATCCTTAAATACCCCCTTTTTTTTTTTCTTCCGCTCCCTGGAGTGCTCTCCTCCACTTTACCTGGCTGACTCCTCATTTTCTGTTCTTAAATGTCAGTTCCTCAGAGAATCCTTCCCAGATCCTCAAATTATTTTATAGCATTGCATCCTTTACTTTCCCTTCATGAAAGTGCACTTCAAATTGCGTCTCTGTGGGTGACTCCCAAGTCCCTGTTGGTGGCTCATGTGGCCTTCAACGGTGTTTCAGATTCTGCTGTCTGTTGGATGTCCCTCAGTGCTTCAAAATCATCATATTCCATACTGAACAATTTTCTCCTAAAATCTGTTTCTGCATCTGTGCTCCTTGTCTCTGGGAAAGGCATAGCCCCCAAGTTGTCCTGAGAGCCTCTGGTCACATAGACTCATGTTAATTTTTCAGTGAGGCATGGCTGTCCTCTTTCCAACCTGAAAATCACTCTGAAATGTATGCTGAACACTCCAGATGGACAGCTTAGGAGTGCTGAGGCTCATTCTCTGCTGACTGTCCTAGTCCAAGGAGTCTTGATGTTTCTTCAGACAAGTGGAGGGAAAAAATTAAGCAAAGAATTTCTAGCTAAGCTACCATAACAAAGCAAATTTATGCCATAAACTAGCTGATGTTTCACTGCCAAGACTTTTTCACAAAAGATTGTGTTCAGCCTACATGTTCCTGAAAATTAGCTTTCTCATTATGTCATCCATCACAGGGGGTTTTCGTTTATACTTTCTCTTAGGTGGTTCGAGGACATTACAAAGGTCAGCAAATCGGCAAGGTAGTCCAGGTGTACAGAAAGAAGTATGTCATCTATATTGAACGGGTGCAGCGTGAGAAGGCTAATGGCACAACCGTCCACGTGGGCATCCACCCAAGCAAGGTATGTCCCTGACTGAGTGGGCGCGACAGCCATTTAGTGTAGTGTTGCCATTAGTTATTGACATGGTGGTGCTCTCTGTACAGGTGGGTGAGGTAAGGGCTTAGAGGCAGGCTGCTAGGCAGCTTGATTGGTTCATTGGCTTAATACTGTCCAAATCCAGACTCTAGCCAGGCATGGTGGCACACACCTGTGATCCCAAAGACTCGGGAGGCTGAGGCAGGAAGATCCAGAGTTGAAGGTCAGCCTGGGCAACTTAATGAGACTTTGTCTCAAAATAAAATAAAGTAGCGGCTGGAATTGTGGCTCAGTGGTAGAGCGCTCTCCTAGCAGGGTGGGATCCAGGTTCGATCCACAGCACCACATAAAAATAAAGGCATTGTGTTGTGTCCATCTACACATAAAAAATAAATATTAAAAAAATAAGGTGGCTGGGGCCATAGCTCAGTTGGTAGAGTGCTTGTCTTGCATGCACAAGGCCCTGGGTTCAATCCCCAGCACCATATACACATGCACAAAAAAGATAAGTCTGGGAACTAGCTCAGTGACAGAGCRCCCCTGGGTTCAGCACCCCTGAGTATGCCCCCCCAAAAGAGTCTGGACTCTTGTCTGTTTTGCCATCCTAGCTGGTGACAAGAAGGCACTGGTGCTTGGAGTGGAACATCTCCCTGGCCTTCATGCCCACTTAGCAGGACACCTGTGCTCTGCTTTTCACTCTCGTCCTGTATTGTGTAATAGGATCTGTCTTTCCTTCCTGAGTTTCAGGTCCTTGAGGACAGGATGGTTAGGGGCTTGCTTATCCTTATGACCTCTGTATTGCCCAGTAGCGGTGTGGGCTGCAGATTTTTTAAAAGCAATGCATCTTGCCATCTAATGGAAATAGTGAACAAAATTTCCCAACCAAAGGACATGTCACTCAACTATGTAAGTGACCTCCTGAGATCCTCAGAAATTAGGAGGTGGAAGGCTGGTGAGCTCAAGGAACCTGAGCTGCTGTTTATTGTCCAGGGAACCTCTACTGTTCAGGGTGGTGGTGGTTAACTCTGGTGTTGTGTGAGGTGGTGCATACTTATGATCCCAGCTACTCAGGAGGTTGAGGCAGGAGGATCACAGTTTAGCAAGTCGATATCTCAAAATCATATTTAAAAAGAGTGGGGGATGTAGTCAGTGGTGGACCACAGAACCATCTTGTGCAAGTGTAAGCAAAAATAACCAAGACGGGAGCAAATCTCAACAAATCAGCACCTAGTCTTTATTAAGTAGTGGTGGAATGGCGCATTTTCAGGGGAGAACATGGCGACTGGTACAAGAGGGGTCTTTTTTATAGGTTTTAATGAGAATTAATCATAGCAGAATGTGTAGTGTGACTTAATCATTAGAGACTTGGGCAGTCAGGAAACTAGTTGTGCAGGTTCAAAGTCTAAATCAGGAAAGTAGCTGTGAAAGCTGGAAACCCATTGTTATTGAGATGAAAGTCCAGAGCCCATCCTTTTTTTGGGGGGGGGGGGTTATTACTCTATATCCTTCAGCAAGGCTCTGGGGTTGGTCCTAGTACTATAAAATAAATAAAACTAAAAAAAAATGTTTGTTGTCTTTCCTGACAGGTAGTTATCACCAGGCTAAAATTGGACAAAGATAGAAAAAAAATTCTTGAACGCAAAGCCAAGTCTCGGCAAGTTGGAAAAGASAAAGGCAAATACAAGGAAGAGCTCATTGAGAAGATGCAGGAGTGAATGTGGCCTATCATACAACCACAGTTGAACTGGAAATGTCTGGATGTGCTTCTCTGGAACTTTTGGGGGTCTCTGGAATGTTCCATTGCCCTCCTGTTTTGTTATGAATCTGTGGCTCTGTAAATCTGCTTTGCAATTTTGATTAATAATTTTTTGAATAAAAATTGGAACTGTTCCTAAACTCAAGGATATTTTCTTCGTGTTATAAATGAAATCCATCTTATCAGTTCCCTTTCGCCAGCCTTTCATATGTTTGATCTGCAGTGGTGGGTTAAGACAGCCCTCCCTGCCTGTTTTCTCATGCTGCCGAGTGGGAAGGGCCAGGTAGGGCGCTGGTCCCAGAGGCAGGGGTTTGGCCCTCATTAGCAGCTGGGACACCAACAGGCTTGACCAAGCTCTGGGTACTGCTTTGTAGCCATGTCTCAGGCCTGCTGATCCCTATTTCCCTGCTCCCTCCATCATGCACCTGCCAAATGAGACCTCTCACTGCTTTGGTCCCTTCCCAAATACCTTTCCATGGAACTGAAAGGCTCCTTACTCAGAAAACTAGCCACCTGTGAGCAAGACTTGGCTCATTTCATTTGTCCTTATATTTTAATAGTTTTTATATTTTCCAACTTTTAAAATCTAAGAGACTCCACAGAACCACATGACTGACCCAGCTGCATAGAGCCCTGTTCTGCATTGGTTGAGGCAGTGGGGCTGAGGAGCTGACTCCTCCCTCAATTGTGGTCTTGCCTGTCCCCCACCTCTATCTGAGATTTAGCCCCAAATCCATCTGAAATAACCCCCTACACCTCTGCATCAAATTGTGTGTATGTGTATGTGTTGCTAGGATCAAACCCAGGGCCTTGTGCCTGCTCTGCAAACACTGCCCCTGAGCTCCACCTCTAGCCATTTTTGTGGTCCTCTGTTCCCTATTTATCTCAGAAGTTAAAAATGCTTATCCTTAAAGTTGTCGAAATGGATATATATTCAGACTGGCCTGATTTTGAGTCACCTGGGTGCTTGCTAACATCAGTCTTACCCTCTTGCCTAGAGATTCCATATTGCAGTAGGTCTTGAGAGATTTGTGCATATGTGTCTCATATGGACTTTGTGTCATGACCACATTTGGAAAATAAAATTGGGATGCATGGAAATCATAACTCATAAACAGTAGCTGCCCATCATATACAGTGGTACTAATGTTTACACAATAGCTGTGTAATCATTTACATGCTCTTATGGTTTGAATGTGAAAGCTCACATGTGAGGGGCTGGGGATGTGGCTCAAGTGGTAGCGCGCTCGCCTGGCATGCTTGTGGCCCGGRTTCGATCCTCAGCACCACATACCAACAAAGATGTTGTGTCCGCCGAGAACTAAAAAATAAATATTAAAAATTCTCTCTCTCTCTTTCTCTCTCTCTCTCTCTCTCTCTCTCTCTCTCTCTCTCTCCTCTCTCACTCTCTCTTAAAAAAAAAAAAAAAAAAGAAAGCTCACATGTGAGACAAAGCAAGAAGGTTTGGAGATGATTGGGTCATATCCTTGGCCTAATCTTTGAATTAACCTATGATGGGATTAACTGGTACCTGGAGGCAGGTGGGTGTGGCTGGAGGAAGTAGTTCATTGGGGTCATGACTTTGGGGTATATATTTTGTATTCATTGGGGGCATGGCTTTTGTATTTGGAGAGTGCAGACTCTGCTTTCTGATCACCATGTGAGCTGCTTCCTTCTGCCACACTGTCCTACCATGATGCTCAGCCTCACATTGAGCCCTGAGGAATGGAGCTGGGCTTCTATGGACTAAGACCTCTGAAACCATAAGCTCCCAAATAAACATTTCCTCCTCTAAAATTGTTCTGGTCATTTCCTTTAGTTACAGCAGCGAAAAAACTAAAGCAGAAAGCAAGGTGTTGCTGTACCTAACCTGATTGTTAAACCATGACGCAAAGAAAAGACCACCAACTCCAATTCTAAATCAAATTAAAGCAAGCTTGTAATTCCAACTAGCCGGGACTGTCCCTCTCCCAAAATCTGTGGGATAGAACACAGTACTCCAGCTCTCTAGGAGTGCAGCTTTATAACAGAGGGGGTGTCTTGAGAACTTAGAGATAACAGACTTTTGACAAATATAATACAAAGGCAGGTGGTAGGGGCTGGGGATGTGGCTCAAGCAGTAGCGCGCTCGCCTGGCATGCGTGCGGCCCGGGTTCGATCCCCAGCACCATATATAAACAAAGATGTTGTGTCCGCCGAAACCTAAAAAAAAAAAAATAAATAAATAAATATTTAAAAAAAAAAAAAAACAAAGGCAGGTGGTAGATTAATGGTCTAAATGGTTCAGCACTTGGGGAGTAAATTTAGATCCCAGCATCAGAATGTATGAGGTGCCATTAGGGTTTCAGAGAGGGTTGTTATCTGGTCGGGGAAAACCAGGCATGGATGGATGAGTTCAAGGCATGGGCAGGCATTCCAAGTAAGTTTTAAAACATCAAAATAACAGCCAAGCCAAATAGAAATCCTAATATTTTACAGAAAACAGAAGTGAATCATGTATAACTTTTGACAAGATAGCTCCTGATCTTAAGAGGGAATTAGGCTGGGTTTATCACTGACCATGTGGTTCAGAAGCTTTTTGAGCTTTTTGGAATTGTTAGGAGGAATTTTGAGAAGTTTAGCAGAGCAAGCTGGAAATGTTTTGTGTTGTCGTAAGCGGAGCTTAACGGCCAGTTCTGAAGGGAGCTCAGAATATCAGAATGCCAAGATGACCAAGGACAGAGTGAAGACAGGGCTCAAGAGGGTTTAGAGGAAAAAGAGGACTGTTGGTAATTGGATTAGAGGCCATTCATGTACATTCTGGCTGAAAGTTGTCTACATTTTGCCTGTGTCCTAAGACTTTGTGTGAGGCTGATTTTATTTTAAAATATTTTTTAGTTGTCAATGGACCTTTATTTTATTTATTTATATGCGGTGCTTAGAATCGAACCTGTGCCTCACACATGCTAGGCAAGAGCTCTACCTACCTGAGCCACTACCCGACCCGAAGGCTGATTTTAAAAGCGATGGACTTTTTTTTTTTTAATATTTATTTTTTCAGTTTTTTTCAGTGGACACAACATCTTTATTTTATGTGGTGCTGAGGATTGAACCCAGCGACCCACGCATGCCAGGCTAGCGCATTACCATTTGAACCACATCCCCAGCCCACGATGGACTTCTTAATCTGGCAGAAGAACTTTCTAGGTAGCAAGGATATTGCTGGCAGCTTTTAGCCAAATTTATTGTGATAAACTGGGACAGAAAGATTTGGAAAACGTACTTGAAAGGCCAGAGTAAAACTAGGGCTAAATTGCAATTGTTAAAGACATTACTGCCACTGCAGAAATGCTAAAGACTTTGCCCAGAGATTAAGAAAGATAGTTTGAGGGCATCTAAGAAGCTGGCAAGACCACACCCATCTCAAGCTCTTTGGAGTAAAAGTAAAAATTCTCTTGAGAAGAGATCTATGAGGCACCCTTCATGCACAAGAGGGCTTAGGAAGTTTTCGACATGCTTGATAAACCCAGCCTAATTCCCTCTTAAGATTGGGAGCCATCTCGTCACAAAGGCATGAAAAGTTAATTTTGGCTTTACTGTGTGATAGTAAAAGCAAATGTGACTCCATTTTGTTTTATGACTTCAACCTGTAAAACAACCATGCTAAGTAGAAGGGTCATGACTGGGGCAAGATATTCTTTTCCTTTTGCTATAGAAACCTTTAAGAACACGAAACTACCTAATAGGGCATTGTTTCCATAACTAGGGTAACGGGGCTCTGTTTCTGTAACTGGGGTGACTGGGCTAACTGTGATTGGTTAGGCTTCCCTTCGCTTGACTGCACTGTCCCGCTTCTGTAACCTGGCTTGCTTGCATTGGCGAGACCCCCCGAACATTCCTTTTGCAGTTTTCAGGCTTATAAGGAGTACCCTTGCAATTGTTTGGGGCTGATCAGGGGAACAGCTTTATGTTGTGGTCAGTCGCCACCGGTGTGCTTCAATAAAGGCTTGATTTGATTATATGTGAGTGGTCTAGAAGTCAGTGTATGAAACCCTGGGACGAAGCTTTAACTATAGCTTCTGGGGGCTCGTCCGGRAYCCATTTCTTCCCTACCCTCACGCCAAATTTGATTATATGTGAGTGGTCTGGAAGTCAATTTATGAAACCCCAGGACGAAGTTTTAACTATAACAGTTTTAACTATAAATTACTGAGATTTCTAAACTTGCTTGGAATGCCTGCCCATGCCTTGAACTCACCCATGCCTGGCTTTCCCTGACCAGATAACAACCCTCTCTGAAACTTTAGTGGCGCCTCATAAATTCTGGCTTTCTCTGGCCAGATAATGACCCTCTCTGAATCTCTAGTGGTGCCTCATACATTCTGATGCTGGGATCTAAATTTACTCCCCAAGTGCTGGACCATTTAGACCATTAACCTACTACCTGCCTTTGTGTTATGCTTGTCAAAATCCTGTTATCTGTAAGTTCTCAAGACACCCCCCTGCTTTTTGCAAACTTTCTGTGCTATAAAGCTGAGCTTCTAGAGAGCTTCGGGGCTGTCTTCTATTCCCACAGGTTTCGGGAGAGACAGCCCCGGCCGGTCGGAGTTACAAGCTTGCTTTCACTTGATTTAAATTGGAGTCGGTGGTCTTTTCTTTGCGTCCTGGTTTAACAATGCATAGCCACCCAGACACTCAGAGGCTTCTGCAGCCAAGGTCCCTGGAGGCTTGGCTACTGCTCAAGATGGCAGCAGACCTTGGTGTCAACCATGTGGGGTTGGTTCTGCAGGAATGCAGGTTGCTGGAGTTAGGGGGTCATGGAGGCTTCCACCAAGATTTCAAAGGAAGGCCTGGGAGGCCAGGCAGAGTGCAGCAGGGTTGGAGTCCCTGCGGGCAGCAGGGTGGAGATATGAGGAGGAAGCCGAAGCTGCAGCGGAGACCACTGAGATGAAGAAATGCCAGTAACACGGGACATCATCCTAGTGGACTGCTCATGCAGGAACTGAGCAGAGACAAGCCAACAGAAAGGCCACTCGGGCCACAGGGGCAGAGCTACAAAAGTCCTTTGGAGAGAACATCATGATGCCCTGTCCCCAGTCGCTGGACACAAAACTGCAGGACTTGTTTGCCCAGCTGGATTTCAGTCTTGCTTTGGTCCCAGCCCTTCTATGCCCCTGTTTTTGCAAAAGGAAATGTTAACTCA